ATAACACAACATGCACTTTCAGGTTTACGTGATGATTTCTGGGAAGCAGTCGCCCTTTTATTAAATATAAGATAACAAGAGCGAGGCGTATGTGGATGTTTGCGTTTGTCTGTACACTACACATATGTAATCCACGACAGAGTAAAAATACACAGCAGAGCATGCAGGGCAAAAAAAAAGTCAACATATAGTCGTGAACAAAAGTTTACATACACTTGTACCAGATAATGTATATCGTGGCAGTCACGGGTTTCCAATGACTCCTCGAACTTTGAATTATTACCTGAGTGATCACACCTGTGGCCAGGATTGGTGCTCCGACAGTGATTCACCAGCCACAGTATAAGCAGCCTTCAGTCCACTACTCAACACTGGATCGTAAACCACGCTCAGTTAGTTTACCCTTGCTCTGTGCTGCCATTCCGTTGTTTGTGTACTAACCTGTTTTTTTCCTCCTCTCCAGTTTGTACCACCTCGCCGTTCGAAACTCTGGCTTGCATCTCTGTCCGTCCATCCTCCACACCTGGCTCCTCTGGAAATAACCCAAACCGTCACTAGCTTTTCTGGTCCATCTCCACCGTCTCTGTCTTCAGCCACCGCTGCACCTGGTCTGATCCTTCCATCACCACTCACCACGCTGCCTCCCCTTCCCACCATGCGCGCTCGGTCAGCTATCTGTAAGCCTCCAGTCTCACTGAACTCCGCTTGCCTAGCCGCTAGCACACGAAACCCGTAGCTTTTGTTATCTGCTTAACCCTGTTAATACTATGTTTGCCCGACTTGGTGTTACCATCCTCGTCTACCTCAGCTTTGAAAAATTACTCAATTGTAATTTGATTCTGGTTTAAGAGTTTATTTTGTATGCAGTTATTCCACCTGTCCTGTAGGTGTCTCTATACATATTTAGTTTCCTGTTCTGTAAATATTGTGATTCTGTAAATTAATATTGTTATCTTGTGCTTGGTTTGCCGAGTTTTATGTCTGCACTTGAGTCTCTGAACCTGATCCGTGACAACACAACAAACAATCTTGCATTTTGGTTCTTTCACAGATANAAACTCTCACATCTCCACAATGCATCAATTTTAATTTTCACCTTAAAACATTGCAAAGAACATTTCCCATAGTATGACTGACTGGACGTAGACTTTAGACATAAGCCTGTCACCAGCCCCTGAATTCATGCAGTTTTCTCCTCTCCTGCTATCTGCATGTCACCTTTTTCAAAATACCCTGTACAAAGGACACAATGACAACAAGCTCTGGGCAGTAACCTATCATGCTCCAAACCAGTGGTTCTCAAATGTCTTCAATTTTGTGGTGGTTGTCTCATTAGTTATTGTTGACACCATATCAAGAGCAGTGGGGAGTGGGAGATCCTCAGCTATTGTTTGTGGTTTCTTGCGATTCTGTTACAGGAATCCAGACTAACTTTTTCCAGTCGTAGCACTGGTGCTACCAACTTTCTTCATTGGTTGTACCGACTAATGATCAACACCAAAACGTTCGTCTCAATGAGACCCACAAATCTCGTGCTGACACCCCTGACCTATCTCAAACAGGAAGTCCGCAATTTGCCTTTCAAAATAAAAAAATGAGCGAAAACTTCTTTTGGGAAAAAATTATCTTGTCTGACACCGTAACTTGTATCAACTTGAAACTCGCACAGGAGACAGAGAAGGCCTTGATGTACAAAAGTTCTGAAGGGATTTGACGTTTCTCAAACGGTTTCCGAATGGCGAGCCGTTAAAGTTGATGAGCTGTCGCAGCCTCGGCTCGTACTTTGTATGGGTGTGTATGGGAAATGCACAGACATGCTGTGACAGCAGCTGGTCATGTGACTCACTGACAGGCTAAGCAGAGAGAAAAATGGCTCCTTCGACTTCAAGCAGGTTTAACTTGAAGAACGGTCAGACGGGCATGAGGGTCCAACGTGGATCGAGGACCCGACCAACGCGACTTGCAGCTTTAATTTAATTTATTTGTTTATTTAGACAGGACAGTGTGTATTAATGTACATACAATCTCAGGTTGCAGTAACTACGCCGGATATAGCACAAGGCTGATTTCCATCCAGTGTCCCACACACATAAAAGAGAAACACATGTGGACACAAACGTCCAAAAGAGCAAAGAGTTAAAAAAAAAAAAAAAAGAAAGAAAAAAAATAACAATAATGATAATAATAAAATAAATAAAAACAACAACAATAAAACACAGACAGNATAACACAACATGCACTTTCAGGTTTACGTGATGATTTCTGGGAAGCAGTCGCCCTTTTATTAAATATAAGATAACAAGAGCGAGGCGTATGTGGGTGTTTCTATCTGCGTGTACACTGCACATAAAAGCAGCTACACAGCCGAGCTCACCCTCCATGACTGGTCGGAGGCAGACTGAGTGGTAAGTTTCTGTTACCTCAACATGTTAATCTATTGTTTTAGTATTTTTGAGCATCATAGCTGCATTTAAAGCAAATAGCAGCACTCTGTCATTTTTTGTTTGCAATTGATTGTAAATCATTATTTTTTGTAGCTGATCTCAGACAAGTTAAACAAAACACTCTTACTTTTGCTGAAGTTTGTCTATTGTTCTCTCGTCTCACATCATCAGTGCTAATGGGACATACAGTCATCCTCAAATGTATTCATATCCTTCCATTAAAGAAAAGGCAACATTCACATTAGTCAGTCAAATAAGTAGAAACTGAAAAAGTAATAATAAATAAAAAATTTGCTAAATTACGATAAGACATTGTTTTTGAATTGTAGTTGAAAAGAATAATTTAAAAAACAAAACAAAACTGTGAATTGAATTGTGAATTTATTCAGTCATCTTACAATACAAAAAATAGTAGGCAGCGATTTTAATGTGTTGCAGTGACATGTATTTACTTTCTACCAGGGAAGTGAATGTTGCCGGCGTGTGCACAGACTCTTTCAACACTTCAACACTATCAGCAGTTTGACTGTCCAACACAACAGACTGTAAGTCAATAAAATATTACACTTTACAAACTTGTTCTGCAAATGATCCACTGTGTTTTAATTCGACTAAAATAAAACCCTTTAATCTTCTGAATATGACTAATGCACTTTGCATCTAATTGCACATCCCTTCTTTGTAGCTGAATTGCTCTTGAAGTTTTTATTGCAGTGAGATGGAACTTATATGAAATGAAACTGTTAGTTGCTTGTCTGTGTGATGAAGTGTCACAAAGAAAAACGATGTTGAATTTAGATCAAATGTTATTAAAATTTCCGATGTGCATAAAAGTCTTCATCCATTACTTTGGTTTAAGTTGCTCAAACTTGTCATTGCACAGATATGGAACACAGATCAGAATAAAGAGTGAAAACAGAGTTATGGAAAGTCTTTGTTTATAGTTTTTCATTTTTTGAAAACTTCTCAGTCGTAGAGTGGTGGTGATGTCGCTTCCTTTCTGAGGGCATCCTCTGAACTGAGACCACACTTTAACACATGGTTGCCCACCACGTGCGCGCATAAGTGAAAGGAAGTGCTGAATGCGTGCTATGATGTAAATACTGCTTTGATGACCTGTTTAGGCATTGTTTAGATATACAGTCATCTTATTCTGTGTTTAATGCTATTTTCAGTGTTTCTAAATATGTTTTCATAGTTAATTAGGTACACATGACTGTAATAAGCCCTCCTTATGCTGTGTTCACACCAGACGCAAGTCAAGTCAGTTATTCGCGCGTATGACGTGATTCTAGACACGTGTATGAAGAGCAAGTTGAAAAATCTGAATTTTTGCGATCTGACACGCTGTGATGGCCAATCAGCGTTGAGATTCTCTGGGTCAACAACATGATTCATTAATTTTTTGCAACTACACTGTGATTACTGATTGATTTACTCACCCCAGGAGATACGCAGTTACATTACTGGCCAAGGCAGATCTCAGTGCTCAGCAGACGGGCTGTTCCTCTCCTCCAGTTTACACACAAGAATGCTACTCTTCAACTTAGCAAGCTAGTGAACTGAGTTGCTAGCTATCGCAATGCTCACGGGATAAACCTCCGCTGGCTCCTTGTCGCTGTGGTCAGCGTACTCCTGCTGGCGGCCGCTCGTCCGTGTTGTTGAATGTGGCACGGAAAAAACATCGCTCGATCTCAGCGAGTGCCTGTAGTTAGCATCCTGGAGGGTTATCCTGGTACCGATCCTCTCCAACAGCTGTGTGCCTCTCTGGGGGATCCCATGGATCCGGCGTCTGAATGGTGTCATTCATGCGAATGACTTGAATTCAGACACAAATCTTTACGCGCGAATGATGTGATTTATACGCGCGAATGAAGCGAGTAAACACAGCATAAGAGTGTGAAACTGGATTTCTGGGTGGTGTTGTCCACTAGAGGGAGCCAGAGACATTTAAACTCCTACTTGCTTTATTAACCCTTTACTTTCATGCTTATTTGTTTATTCTATTGCCTATTTGATTTCTTTGGACCGAATTAATACATTTCCAGTCAAATAATTCAATGTTTGTTATTGTATTATAGCTTTTGAAATATTTTTACAGTATTATTAATATTCTTTGTACTTTGTTTCTTTTGTAGACCACACACACACACACACACACACCATCCTAATCCATCCATTACTGTAACCCACTTGAGTATTAAAAGTTGCTTGGAAATTAATTCTCCGTGTCCATCTCTCTGACCGGAGCTCTGTCATTAGATACTATCAAATCAGCAACATGTCCCCAGAGTGTCCCACTCTACCACACAGAGCTTTACAATGACCTTAATAATGTCTGTCACATTTAAACTTACCAAATAAATAATGTAATGAGGAAAGGCTAAAGTTCTTCAAAGGTAAAATCTTCTGTGCATTTCTGTTGAATAAGTTACACAGTCCCTGTCTTTTCATAACATTATAAAAAGCAAACAGCAGAAGTCACCCTTTCTGATGATTCTAGGTTCTTTTCTCTGCAGCATTACATCCCACCTGTATGAAATGCAAAAACAAAATAATGGATTTGCTTTTCATTGCAAGTAGCTTACTGTTTGTGAACATTTGAGTGAATAAAACAAGAACCTTTATCTTTGTTAGGCAATAAGCACTTTTTTTCTCCTTCAAATTTCTACCTCATCCAGTGAAACAATATTTCTACTGCCGGAGAGATAAATGTAAAAACACAACCATTTCATAGGACAATATATGTTTTCCTTCACATGAAGGCGAATATATAACAATTTGCAGGTATTATCAAATCAAATGATGAAAGATCTGGATAGCAGTGCCTGTTCTAAAAAACTAGAAATAAAACAAATGTTTATCATGGAAGGCTAGTCCTTATAATAACCAAGATAAGAGCCTAATAGTAAAGGTTGTGAAATGGCCCTGAACATAGCCTTGGGGTCACTGGGTAACTGAAAGCATGGCTGTGTTTTTCCTTCTCAGGTGCTGTCTGCAGTCTCCTCTGGCTGTCAGCTCCAGCGGTGTAAATTTGCAGTTTACTGTAGACCATTAGTTTATTATAATTTACATGTCAGATTATTGGTAGAGGATAAAACTGTCAGTCCTGCCTGGTTAAATAATACATTTCTGCTGGCAGATTTTGACTGCAGCTCTGCTTCAAAGATCTATCTCCATCATCTGTACACCGCTTGATCCTCACTAGGGTCGCGGGGGGCTGGAGTCTATCCCAGCTGACTTTGGGTGAAGGCAGGAGACACCCTGGACAGGTCACCAGTCTATCACAGGGCTACACTCAGAGACAGACAAGCAAGCACATTCACATTCACACCTACAGACAATTTAGAATCACCAATTAACCTCAACATGTTTCTCGACTGTGTGGGAGGAAGCCGGAGAACCCGGAGAGAACCCACGCTGCACGGGNAAGAAAGAAAAAAAATAACAATAATGATAATAATAAAATAAATAAAAACAACAACAATAAAACACAGACAGTGGCGATAAGATTGAATCAGACTGGGTTGTACCCACCCTAAAGTGCTACTGTGTCTATAAAGTGCTTTTCAGGTCCTAAAGTGCATGTAATTAAAGTGCCTGATTTTGTCAATGTTCACACACTTGATTACTGATCAGCCATGTCTTACATTGTCTTTTAAAACTGATAAAGGTGGAGCTTTCTCTGACAGCTATAGGTAAGATATTCCAGTTTGTGCAACCTTTAATAGATGGTACATGCTGTGCAAAGGAGGGCTTTCTAAACTGTACTTCGCAGTCACCCCTAGTGGCTGACCTTGTATTAGTGATACCACTTTTCTTTTTGATATAATCCCTCAGGGGCAGTGGGGCCATGCCATTCACAGACTTGTAGCTTAAGCACGCACTTTTAAACAATTTAAAATTCTCAAAGTTTAAAAATTGATATTTCTTTAGGACTGCACAATGGTGAAATGACTGAGGTTTTTTGTCCAGCACTTTGATGGCTTTTTTAGAAAGCTGTTCAATGGGTTTCAGAGCAGTGAAACTAGCAAACGACCAGGTTGTGAAGCAGTATTCGATGTGAGAAACAATCATGCAGTGGAGGTAAGATAGAGCAGATAGATAGCGACTATGACTCCTGTTAGCAGCTGTCCAACTTTGTGAGGAAGTTACTCACGTCGTGTGTCTTTGTATTTTCTGTGTTTTGAGGCACCAGTTTGTTTTCGTTTCCTTTGTTATGTGTGGATGTTGCTACTAGGTTTTGGCTAAAGAGTTTAGTTTTGTTTTGTTTGCTAGCTTCACAACTCTGATAGCCTTTGTTTGGTTTTTGTTTGGTTTGTTGATTTGTAGCAACATCCACCCTCTTTTGTATTGTCAAAGTTATGTCATGGTCATTTTACGTTACTGAGCAATAAATTGCTTTACCTGAACCATTTCCATCTGGTTTCTAGTTACATCCAGCCGACCCTAGAGGCTGGATGTAACACCCAACAGAAGAGCTGTGGTGTGTATATAGACTGCAAAGAATAATAACGGAGCATTAAACTGTGGATTCTATTTTCTGTTTTCTTTTGTTTCTTTATGCAGATTTATATCAGAGACCAGGGGCTCACCATCAAGATGGATGACCTTCTCTGAACACAACAAGTCATTGAAAATAACTCTCCTGGACCCAATTAAGTGTAACTGTAGCTTCATAGTTGTAATTGCCAACCGTCTCCATAATGTTGCAGCGATTACAGTCAAGTTATACAAAATTTAAGTCATACTTCGTAAAATCAAATGTTAACCAACAAACAGAGCCAGTCGAAACTTGTCTTGATTCAGCTCCTGTGAATTCACCACCAGATGATTGTATTTCTGAGGAAGTTGAGTGCAGTAAACGACTTGCTGATGCTGTTAAAGAAAGAAGCAAACTACTACCACAGGAAGGATCTCTCTCTGTTTACGAAACTCCCCTGAAAGAAGAACACATCAATATAAAAGGATGCAAGAGTTTTACTTTTGGGAAACAGTCCACTAAACCTAATCGCACAATAATGGTTCTTGGAGCCACTGGTGCTGGAAAGTCAACCCTCATTAACGGAATGATCAACTACATTCTTGGTGTCGAATGGAAGGACTCGTATCGTTTTAAATTAGTACATGAGGGTCAGTCAACATCCCAAGCTCACAGCCAAACATCTGAAGTCACAGCTTACAGGATCAACCACCAGGAGGGTTTCAAAATAGAGTACTCCCTGACTATTGTGGACACTCCAGGCTTTGGAGATACAAGAGGCATAGAAAGAGACAGGGAAATTGTAGAGCAGCTACGTAATCTCTTTCATGCTGACAATGGTGTCACAGAAATTGACGCTGTGTGTTTTGTAGTTCAGTCTGCTTTAGCACGACTCACACCATCACAGAAATATGTGTTTGATTCAATTCTCTCGATCTTTGGCAAAGATGTGGCAGAAAACATCAGGATTCTGGTGACATTTGCAGACGGCCAGCGGCCACCAGTTCTAGAGGCCATCAATGTCTCAGGTGTCCCATGTCCTAAAACAGATGGGCTGCCTGTTCACTTGAAATTCAATAATTCAGCGTTGTTTGCAGACAACAAAGCATCAGCAGCAAACAGCACAGCTGATGATGAAGATGATGAAGAAGATGATAGAGGATTTGATGAGATGTTTTGGAACATGGGAACAAAAAGCATGAAAAGGTTCTTTGCTGCTCTGAATCTCATCCAAACCAAAAGCTTGACTCTGACAAAGGAGGTCCTAAAAGAAAGACAGCAGCTTGAGAATTCAATTGAAGATTTGCAGAAGAAGGTTAAACTTGGGTTAGCCAAGCTTGAGGAGATAAATGAGACAACCGAAAAACTTCAAGATCATGAAGCAGAGATGAACAGAAATGAGAAGTTTGAGATTGAAATAACTGTCACAAAGCCCTTTCAAGAGGACATTTCTGGTAGTGGAAACTACATCACCAACTGTCAGCAGTGTCATTATACCTGTCACTATCCTTGTGGGATAGCAGATGATCGAGATAAAATTTACTGTGCTGCAATGTCAGATGGATACTGTACTTGTTGCCCAAATAAATGCCCATGGAATGTACATTTTAATCAAAAATATAAATGGGATTATAAGGAAGTTAAAGAAAAACAGACACTGCAACAGCTGAAAGAAAAGTACCTGAAAGCCAAAGGGCAAAAGGGGAATGTTCAGGGAGTGATTAAAGTACTGAGGGATGAATATGATCGTTTGCAGTTTGTGGTGGTAAAACTAATTGAGAGCTCTGCCAAGTGTCTGAACAGACTAAAAGAGATTGCACTGAAGCCCAATCCTCTCTCCACTCCAGACTACATTGACATGCTGATTGAAGGAGAGAAATCTGAAGGCAAAGCGGGCTGGAAGAAACGAGTTCAGTCCCTGATGACTGTGAGGGAAAGAGCAGAATTCATAGCTAAAGTAGAGAAAGGAGAGAGATTTCTCTAGAATTGACATACTCACTCCCAGCATTGTAATCAGGGCCAAACAAAGACTGATGGCAAGAAAGACAATCGTAAAAACATCAATGCCAAAACTAAAACTAATGCCAACAGAGACCAAGAAAAAAAGAATGACATCAGAAAACAAGATGAGACAAAGACTGATCCCAGCCGAGATCAAAACAAATTCACCACTATCGCTGATCAAGACGAGGCAACGACCAACGCAGACCAAGACGAGGCAACGACCAACTCAGACAAAGATGAGGCAAAGACCAACTCTGACCAAAACCAGGCAATGACCAACGCAGACCAAGACCAGGCAACGACCAACACTGACCAAGACCAGGCAACGACCAACACTGACCAAGACCAGGCAACGACCAACGCTGACCAAAACGAAGCAACAACCAACGCAGACCAAGACGAGGCAACGACCAACGCTGACCAAGACGAGGCAACAACCAACGCTGACCAAGACCAGGCAACGACCAACGCAGACCAAGACCAGGCAACGACCAATGCTGACCAAGACCAGGCAATGACCAACGCTGACCAAAACGAGGCAACAACCAACACTGACCAAGACCAGGCAACGACCAACGCAGACCAAGACCAGGCAACGACCAANGGGTCAGAATTTGGCATCAACAACATGAAAGCATGGATCCATCCTGCCTTGTATCAACGCTTCAGGCTGATGGTGGTGGTGTAATGGTGTGGGGGATATTTTCTTGGCACACTTTGAGCCCCTTAGTACCAACTGAGCATCGTGTCAACGCCACAGCCTACCTGAGTATTGTTGCTGACCATGTCCATCCCTTTATGACCACAGTGTACCCGTCTTCTGATGGATACTTCCAGCAGGATAACACGCCATATCATAAAGCGCAAATCATCTCAGACTGGTTTCTTGAACATGACAATGAGTTTACTGTAGTCCAATGGCTTCCACAGTCACCAGATCTCAATCCAATAGAGCACCTTTGGGATGTGGTGGAATGGGAGATTCGCATCATGGATGTGCAGCCGACAAATCTGCAGCAACTGCGTGTTGCTGTCATGTCAATATGGAGCAAAATCTCTGAGGTATGTGTCCAGTGCCTTGTTGAATCTATGCCACGAAGGATTAAGGCAGTTCTGAAAGCAAAAGGGGGTCCAACCCGGTACCAGCAAAGTGTACCTAATAAAGTGGCCGGTGAGTGTATGCTGCAGCTGCTGCTTTTACATTGTAGGGGGATGGTATGCCTATGAGTGCAAGGTACTGCTACCATTATCTGTGCATAGTGTGTGTGTGTGGCTGCATTCCTTCTATCTGACCTGACTTAACCTCCCTCAGTTCAGTTTCTCAAGGCCTGCTTAAATCCTTCTTTCCCCTTCTTCAGATCAGCACAACTCATACATTAATAGACATTAAATGATGCTCGTGTCAATAGTAAGCTTTCAGTGCTTTCACAAAATTAAATATCCCAACAGTACGTGTGTTCTCTGTATATTACACAGCAAGCATGTGTTAAACTAGTTTCTTTTTTAATGACACATTTACATAGTTTGACTGCCGATTTAGTCAAACAGCTGAATACCCTGTTGACTAATTCACTTTTCTAACTTCCTTGGACACAGTCTGGTCTTCTGGTAATCCACCAAGTTAATCAACACACTCGAGGCAAATTCTGGACTGAAAAAAAAAGAGGGAAGGAGAGTTCTGCAACAACATTGGACATCACAGAGGTTTCCATGAAGATGCCTGGTGCTCCGATGGATTCATACAAGAATTAGGAGGTATGTGGAAGTCAACCCCAAGTTATTGACATGTCTAGAATAAAGCAGAGTTTTTCTTCATGTTTTCTAATCGTTTGTCCTGATGAATCAACCGGGACGTCCATTATAGTGCTGAAATCCTCCTGCAGTAAAATCTGGTGTTGCTGGTGTGAGAAATGAACTTGGCAATTTTTTTTTTTCTTTTTTCTTTCTATGCCCCAACAGAAGAGCTGTGGTGTGATTATAGACCACAATAAATAAATAAATAAATAAATAAATAACAGAGCATTAAACTGTGGATTCTATTTTCTGTTTTCTTATATTTCTATATGCAGATTTAGATCAGGGACCCGAGGCTCGCCATCAAGATGGATGATCTTCTCTGAACACGAGTCTTCAGTTTGTCTTGTCATTGAAAATAACTCTCCTGGACCCAATCAAGTATAACTGTAGTTTCATAGTTGTAATTGCCAACCGTCTCCATAATGTTGAGTCGATTTCTGCCATGTTATACAAAAGTTAAGTCAGACGTCGTACAATCAAATCAAAACAAACAAACAGAGACAGTCGAGACTTTTCTTGATTCAGAGGTTGAGTGCAGTAAACGACTTGCTGATGCTGTTAAAGCAACATGCAAACAACAACCGCAGGAAGGATCTCTCTCTGTTTACAAAATTCCCCTGAAAGAAGAACACATCAATATAAAAGGATGCAAGAGTTTTACTTTTGGGGAACAGTCCACTAAACCTAATCGCACAATAATGGTTCTTGGAGCCACTGGTGCTGGAAAGTCAACCCTCATTAACGGAATGATCAACTACATTCTTGGCGTTGAATGGAAGGACTCGTATCGTTTTAAATTAATAGATGAGGGTCAGTCAACATCCCAAGCTCATAGCCAAACGTCAGAAGTCACAGCTTACAAAATAAACCACCAGGAGGGTTTCAAAATAGAGTACTCCCTGACTATTGTGGACACTCCAGGCTTTGGAGATACAAGAGGCATAGACAGAGACAGGGAAATTGTAGAGCAGCTACGTAATCTCTTTCATGCTGACAATGGTGTCACAGAAATTGACGCTGTGTGTTTTGTAGTTCCATCTGCTTTAGCACGACTCACACCATCACAGAAATATGTGTTTGATTCAGTTCTCTCGATCTTTGGCAAAGATGTGGCAGAAAACATCAGGATTCTGGTGACATTTGCAGACGGCCAGCGGCCACCAGTTCTAGAGGCCATCAATGTCTCAGGTGTCCCATGTCCTAAAACAGACAAAGGGCTGCCAGTTCACTTTAAATTCAATAATTCAGCGTTGTTTGCAGACAACAAAGCATCAGCGGCAAACAGCACAGCTGATGATGAAGATGATGAAGGTGATGGAGGATTTGATGAGATGTTTTGGAACATGGGATCAACAAGCATGAAAAGGTTCTTTGCTGCTCTGAATCTCATCCAAACCAAAAGCTTGATTCTCACAAAGGAGGTCCTAAAAGAAAGACAGCAGCTTGAGAATTCAGTTGAACATTTGCAGAAGAAGGTTAAACTTGGGTTAGCCAAGCTTGAGGAGATAAACGAGACAACCAAAAAACTTCAAGATAATGAAGCAGAGATGAACAGAAGTGAGAAGTTTGAGATTGAAATAACTGTCACAAAGCCCTTTCAAGAGAACATTTCTGGTAGTGGAAACTACATCACCAACTGTCAGCAGTGTCATTATACCTGTCACTATCCTTGTTCGTATGCAGATGATCGAGATAAAATTCACTGTGCTGCAATGTCAAATGGATACTGTACTCGGTGCCCAGAGAAATGCCCATGGGATGTACATTTTAATCAGAAGTATAAATGGGATTATAAGGAAGTTAAAGAAAAACAGACACTGTACGATCTGAAAGAAAAGTACCAGAAAGCCAAAGGGAAAAAGATGACTGTTCAGGGAATGATTCAAGTACTGAAAAATGAATATGATCGTTTGCAGTCTGAGGTGGTAAAACTAATTGAGAGCTCTGCCAAGTGTCTGAACAGACTTAAAGAGATTGCACTGAAGCCCAATCCTCTCTCCACTCCAGACTACATTGACATGCTGATTGAAGGAGAGAAATCTGAAGCCAAACCGGGCTGGAAGAAACGAGTTCAGTCCCTGATGACTGTGAGGGAAAGAGNCTGACCAAGACCAGGCAACAACCAACGCTGACCAAAACGAGGCAACAACCAACACTGACCAAGACCAGGCAACGACCAACGCAGACCAAGACCCGGCAACGACCAACGCTGACCAAGACGAGGCAATGACAAACGCTGACCAAGACGAGGCAACGACCAACGCAGACCAAGACGAGGCAACGACCAACGCAAACCAAGAAAGAGCAGTATTAGTAGATAGTTAATGGAAATATACATCGTTAATCATTCACTCAGATTTGATGTTTTGGGTCTAACATACCTAAATTTTGTAACATGACTCTTTGTCTGCTGTAAATACCTCATTTTCTTCATAGTCTTTGTTTTAATATTTTATACTCAGAGGATGCTACAACAACATTTCACTGCTGTACCACCGTCTTTAACATGGCTTCCACAGTGACAATGAAGAATTATTCTATTCTATTGTTTTCTTCAATGTTTTACACTTTGTTTGGCTCTGAAGGCCAAGGTTCATGACTTTCAAGACAAGAATTATGTTCTTGCAAATGTATGACTCAGTGGCATGAAAAACAATAGCGTTCTAGTAATAGCTTCTCAGCTCCTCTTGTTGAACTTTGATCTTATGATTCTGCAATGACAGTGTCCATGAATTCATGCAGGAGTCTTGTCATGAGAAGATGTTCATTATAAATGAAGCCCTGGAGGTTAAACTATATAGAGTCCTCTGTTCAAAATGGCAAAACATAAAAATAAATCTGTAAAATTCACACTAGAGGTCACCAGGATTACGTCGTCACCAGAACCACATCACATGTGGTTGGATAAGCATGTCTTCCTTAACTTGACCAATAGATAAGCACATGGTTGATTATTTTGGATTGTTATGTATTGGTTTAGAAAAATACTCACAAAGTATTACTGGTCTGATAAACAGACGACTTCATCCTTGTTTGCTCAACATTTTTTCTGTAAAACAAAAAAGAATAAATTTTGTGAGACCAAAACGGATTCTTTCTCAATTTTTGTGGAAGCTGTTTGCTTGATTATAGAAAAACATGACACATAAATTCAAAAAGACCTTCAAGGTTTCTGTCCAACAATAACAGTTATGATAAAAAAAATCCTGTGTTGTGTGTTGTTTGCTNAACACCGTCTTTAACATGGCTTCCACAGTGACAATGAAGAACTATTCTATTCTATTGTTTTCTTCAGTGTTTTACACTTTGTTTGGCTCTAAAGGCAAAGCTTCATGACTTTCAAGAAGAGAATTATGTGCCTGCAAATGTATGACTCAGTGGCATGAAAGACAATAGCATACTACACTGCTCAAAAAAATTAAGGGAACACTTAATCAGCACAGTATAACATAAATTCAACTAAACTTCTGGGATATGGATCTGTCTAGTTAGGAAGTAAGTGAGTGTGAATCCCTCCCTCAGTGGGTTAATCATTTTGTTTTCCACTGTCCAAACAGACATGTTATAAATGAGCATCTTATTGTTTATACTCACATGTGGTTGGAAAAGCAGGTCTTACTTAACTTGACCAATAGATAAGCACATGATTGATTATTTTGGATTGTTATGTAATGGTTTAGAAAAAATACTCACAAAGTATTACTGGTCTGATAAACAGACGACTTCATCCTTGTTAGCTCAACATTTTTTCTGTAAAACAAAAAAGAATAAATTTTGTGAGACCAAAACGGATTCTTTCTCAATTTTTCTGGAAGCTGTTTGCTTGACTATAGAAAAAACATGACACATAAATTCAAAAAGACCTTCAAGGTTTCTGTCCAACAATAACAGTTATGATAAAAATCCTGTGTTGTGTGTTGTTTGCTGTGTGTTGGAGTCAGGCTGTCACATGTGTAACAGGCCCCATAGATGGAGTCTGTTTTCCACAGTAAATTGTCCTGTGAAAACCAGGAGAAAAGAGTGAGACGGATAACAAGTAGTGTTTTCTTTCCTCTCTTCTGAGAGTCTGAGACGCGGCTGCCAAGCACACCAGGCTGTCTTCAGGAAGGTTGATCCTCCCTAGTGGCTCATTCCTGGAACTACACCCAAAACAAGCTATGTACAAAAAACAAAGTTAAAAGTGCTCCTATTCACACATTTCTGCATAAAATTCATCCCATTATAACCAAAATTAATTACAAAAAATGTGATCACACATTTCTGTGTGTCACATATGTCCACATTTATGTTCTTATACTGTAGTTGTTGTGAAAATTTCAGAATTGCTTCATGGATTCTGTCTCACCTTACAGATGTAATGTAAAAATAAAATTGTATCTATCTTGTATCTACATGCATTAAGTGTCCCATGGAGCCATGACAGTGAATCAGTATGCATCATTAATGCACCTGTGCTTTTCCTACTGTAGCAAGCAGGGATTTCCCAATCAAGTTTTTGATGTTGTTGTTGTTGTTGTTGTTGTTTTTATCACAGACTGAAACAATTTAATATTTAATATTTTCCAACTCCATGTACCTGCATAATACATACTTTAAGTATTGTAGGTTAGCTGTAGTACCTGGATGTTCCACCAGGTGGAGCCTCTTGTTTAATACTGTAATTAGAAGAGGCGTCACTCAGACGACAGGCCGTTCATGTTGGCAAGCAGAGAGCATTGTGGAGTTTAGCTAGTAGAGGAGCACCATAACCAAGTCTTCTCTGACAAATCATGACCTCTGGCCAGAGCTCACATGGTGACTTGAGCTGTGATTAACTAGAATTGTGTTACAGTTTTCTCAGTGACTTTGGTACATTTCTCAAATCATCCTTGACATTTGCAGAACAGTAAGTGCATTTCTCAAAACAATTCGTATGAAACACCATGGATTGCCTACAAAAGGCAGTTACTTACTCAAAGTCCTTAGTTCATCTCTCAAAACTAAATATCTGTGTTAATGAACTTGTCAGTGCCATCAGAATGACAAGTCCTTGTGTCAGTGTGTGATAAGACAGTCACATTGCTTAGTCATGTTGTCAATGTAACAGTGTTCTCTGGAGGGATGTTCTGATGTAAACTAAAGTTTTAATGATAGTTATTGTAAATTGTGAGTTACACCTTAGTGTATGTGGGAGATTGATTGGAAGACTGGACAAGATTCACATTTAGGCTTTTACTGTTTGTACTGCAATTTATTGACAGACCATGTAACTGCGATACAGAAAGGAAAAGACAGCACTGCATAGCACAAAGAAAAAAACAAACGTAGAAATGGGAACTAGGACAGTCTCCTTAAGGAAAACTGTACATGCAGCACTGTAGGAATTACAATGCAGTCTTCCTCTATACTTACCAGTTGATGGTTCAGAAGATGCACCTTGGAGCTATTTCAGAGAACTGGTTGATCATTGGTTGATCTTTGTAATGCTATGCACATTTCCCTTCATTAGAGAAAGTCAAGATTCACCTGGGAGCAATTTACCAATTCAGGACAGATTTAGAAAAAAAAGTCTCATGGAAAATATGCTCGACATATTATGACAACTGGTTCAACCATTTTGCATGTAAAGACTAATGGAATGAACTGATGACTAAATGTTGTGGGGGTGAATCTATTCAACAGAGACCCATTATAATACATTTTGATCAACATGACATAAGCAATTGATAATGTAAGAAACAGCAGAGAATTGTACATAATCATTTGCATGGATGTATCAAAGCATTTAGAACTTGTTCAAAGAAATGAGAAACTGATTTTTTGATGTGCACAAGTGACACAATGATGTGAAGATTGAACAAGTAGTTTTGAGAATTTCAATTCTGATCTGAGAAATGTACCACAGCGACTGAGAAAAACGAATATATTTCAGTAACATCAGCTGCTTGGAAACCTGTCATGTGCCTGTAGTTTATCATAGTAAT